CTTGCCACGTGTTGGTACTCAAAAATATATCCCCACAACTGCCCCCTAGGTTCTATTACCCCGGCATTCTAAGGTGATGGAACCTATATCAGGTACCTCATGTAATACATCGGTTTAATCCGAGATCATCATCATAGGCCGACATGTCTTCTTAAAGATCATAAATTCCAATGAACTCCTTTATGCGTATGAGCTGTCAAAACATCACTTTTCAACCGTTTCACTCACGCGTTTTATCCTTATTGGATCGTGCTTGTGACGCGCCAACAAACCGTCTCGTCTGCGTGCGTAGTCTGACGCATTCGTTGCTCTAGGTGCATTAATTTGATTTCGCTGCCTTTTCAAGTTTTAACAAAAAACTTTTCCCTCTTCTTTCATTCATTCACTTTTGTATTCGATTCCTTTGTTTTTTCTCTCTCTAGCACTTGAATACGCCATTGTTCCTGACCTTAAGCTCTGCAACTGCCTTCATTCCTCCTTCTGGTGAAGCTTCCGCCGTTCTGTTACTTCTGTAACCATTGTCTGACTTCGGTGATCCTTACACCGACTTCTTTTCTTCGGTGAGTTTACTGTTCCTTCCGTTTTCAATTCTTTGATGCTTTCTATTACTTGCTGTCATTACTGCATTTGTTCAAACTTTTAATTTGTGAGTCATACATCTGAATGTGTTTTTTTTCCACGATTTTGCCCTTGCCCATATCTTGAACACATGCACTGTTTCACCACTTCCTTGTACTTTTGCCACTGTTCTTGGCCCTATACTTCATGTATTCTTTATGTTCTTGATAGTCCATCTCTGTTCTTGATTCTGAAACTCCGTTCTTGTTTTCTGTTTTTTGTGTCTTTTCCAGATTCGTACCTTCAACTTTGTTTCCATAGACTTAGGCTTGAGATTTGTCTGTAGAACCCACAATTTAGGGCAAAACTGAAACATCCCTTACAAATTTCTGTACTAGCTCAAACTTAGGTTTTTTTGCCGAGGTCCCAATAACCCTTTTTGAAACATCTTCTTTCTGAAATCCAATACCTTTAGTTATCCCGATATTATGGGTATGTGGAAACATCGGGTAGACACCCCCTCCAAGCTAGAATTCTTTAGGCAAGAGTTTGAAATCCCAACCGATGTCAATTTGAGGTTGGCTAGGGATGATGACTCCATCATGCCTACAGATAACTCCATGCCCATCCATGTGGTTGCCTTTATTGAGTGTGGACTTCGGTTTCCACTTGACCCTTTTTTCCGTCAAGTCCTTCATTTCTATAAGTTGAACCCAATGCAACTCTCCATCAATTCTTACCGAGTTATTACTGGTACCATAGCTTTAGTCAAACAAGAGAATGCCAGGATTACGCTTGCCGATGTCCAGTACTGTTATACCATGTGTCGCCTTAGAAAAGACACGGATTATGTCTACTACCTC